CATTTTTTCAATTCTTTCAGAATAAATAAAAGTGTACATGTAGTTATGTTTTCTGCAAGACTCTCAAAATATCCTGGCTGCACTCCCAAAAACCTCAGGAATCAAGTTATCCAGACTCCGAGGAGTCCTGAAATAACATAAAGTCGGTTATGTTAGTTGGGCTTGCCTGCCAAATTTCTAACAATCGCGTTAAACCAAAATCTGAGCAAGATGAGCAGTAAATCTCTTTCGTCTGGTCGACCCTCTACCAAGTATCCTTGTGATGATGCGAGGGAGCTGTGTATTTAGTTTTGTCTTTACTCGCAGACTCGGTTTGTGAAATCAAAGCTGCTGTGGCAGCGGCGGTCTAAATTTAACATCCCTCTGTGAGAAAGTAAGAGAATAGTTTTACCTCTGACACAGTCGCTCCGTTCTCCGTTCTTTTGGAGAGGGGCTAAACTGCAAATCAAATAAAAGTGAACAAGGGAAGACATCTAAACATTTTTGTTGTTATTTTGGATCCTTATATGCAAATTTAAGGAGGACGCTAATTTAATATGTGAACAAAAGCAACTAAAAGCATAAAAATACTTTTAACTAACAGCATCTAAGTGGAATTACACATTTTTATTATAAACACTAAAACATCTAATGTAACTGAATAATGTGAACTTTTCTGAAGCAAATGAAAAATGATCTGATTGAAAATTTAAATCTGCAGCAAAGATTTCTGGCACAACTTCACCTACTTCCAAGGTGCATGGGGAGGATGAGAAACTTACAACGCAGGAACTCCAGCAACACTTAGCCGAAACGCGCTGGCAAGTTAATAAAGAGGAACAACTTTATTAACTGACCAATGCGTTTGGGCTTGTGGCCTTCATCAGGGTCATAAAAATTTAAATCTGTCATGCTGTGGAAAAACAACCCGCTCTTTAAAAACATGGAAAATACAAATTTCTTAATGTTGCTTACATTACATAGACTCCAAGATGATTTTACCGATCATATAACAGGGTAAAAATGTATTGTCTAATCGCTTCACTTGTCAGAGTTATGTTTGTTTTATATAACACCATTGCCAGATATCTTCTGTGATGTTTTCGATTCCTTTCTTTAAGTTATCATCAATGCGGTGACCATGATAGTGATGAAAGATGGAAACTTTCTTGGTTTTATTTGGTTTTAATTGGAGTGTGCTTCATCTGAATTTGTAGTCTTAACTTTATCTGAAACACGTTAAGGATGCAAAATATTCAATTCAATTTTATTTATATAGCGCCAAATCACAACAAAAGTCGCCTCAAGGCGCTTTATATTGTACAGTAGATACAGAGAAAAGTCCAACAATCATATGACCCCCTATGAGCAAGCACTCTGGCGACAGTGGGAAGGAAAAACTCCCTTTTAACATGAAGAAACCTCCAGCAGAACCAGGCTCAGGCTCCCAAACCAATCATCTGCTGTGATTGGTTTGAGAGCCAGAGATTAATAATAACTAATGATGAAACGGAGAGAGGTCTATCAACACATAGTGAGTGAAGAAGAAACACTCAGCTTTGGAAATGTTGGCAGAAAATAAAGTGGGTGAGAGCTGTAGGATGACAAATAGTAATCAATTATTGTAAATGTAAAT